TGGGGCTACCCAGCAGTAGCTATGGAGAGATCTCCAGATACCTCTTCTTTGTTTAGAGTTTGGAGGTGTCTAGATGAGGCCCATCTGTGAAGCAATGCAAGCTGCTGTGGAGCCTTGGACCTTCTTTTGGAAGTTCTGGGTCTCTCTGATTCAGCTGCAGTTTGTTAGGTAATGTTCAGGTTGCAAAGGGCCAGGCCTTTTGTATGCAAAAGCCTCTGTGCACAGCTTGGGTGGGGCAGGGTCTCAGGGGATCAACAGGGTGGAGCAAGCAGCTATGGTTGCTCCTCAGTCCTATCCTAAGAGGCCCCGCGTCTCAGCATCCTGGTAATCGCTGCAAGCACCTCTGAGAGATAGCCGCCCTCGAGTTCTGACCAATGCCAGACAGTCCAGTTTCTCCCCGTGTAAGTCTGGGTCCCCAGAGACTCGGAACTGGAGTTCAGAGCAGTCGGGAGTTTGAGACTCTCTCCCAATTGAAAAAGACAACTGTGTCCTCTGTTGCCAGCCCTTTCCACACACGCGCCTCCTCCTCCGTACCTCTGCACTTTACTTCCGCATCTCCTCTGAGTCTCAGGGTGCTTTTCTCTTTCCTTCTAGTTGTAGAATTTCCACTCAGCCAGCCTTCCTGTGGTTCTGGATGATGTCCGTTTTGTCTTTTAGTTGTATTTTTGAAGTGGTTGTGCGAGGCAGCAATTTCTGGTGTTTACGTATGCCGCCATCTTGGTTTCTCCTGAAGAATAATTCTTTTTTTTTTCTTTCTGAAGAATAATTCTTAACTGCATACTACATGCCACATTGTCTGAGGAATCCATTTCCAAATCTGAGCTTGTCACCTCAAGTTCATGATTACAAGCCAAATCCATACCTTTCATCTCGTTAGTTTCAGTGAAAACATATCCCCTTCCTCTATTTCTACATGTGGGTACTGGGACCTGTAGTCTTGTTCTTTCTTTTTTAAAAACAGCCTTATGGAGGTATAGATGTGTGTTCTTTCTTTCAAAGGCTACCCAGCCTTCTTTTCCATCTCGTGACAGCAGATCTTGTTCTCTGTCACGTCCAGTCTCTCTGCAACCCCTTCACACCAACTATCAGAAGAATCATCTTTAGAGTCATGTGCTCTCTGCAACCCCTTCACACCAACTATCAGAAGAATCATCTTTAAGAGCCATGTGCTCAGTCATGGTTACCAGCATTCCCTGCTGTAAACCTTCAATGGCTCTCCACTACGCTTTTGTCTTCCAGCTGAGATCTCGTGCCCCTGCACGAGAAGCACCCACCACACAGGCCAGTCTTTCCTTCCTCCTCTGACTTCCCATGTTGCTCATTTGGCATGTTCTCTTATTTATTAATCCTCACCTGAGGATATTTTTCCATTGATTTTTAGAGAAAGTAGAAGAGAGAGGGAAAGACATAGAAAAGTATCAATGTGAGAGAGACATTGATTGGTTGCCTCCTGCATGCGCCCTGACCAGGACCCCGGCTGGGGAAGAGCATGCAACTGAGGTATGTGCCCTTGACCGGAATTGAACCTGGGACCCTTCAGTCCATGAGCCAATGCTCTATCCACTGAGCCAAACTGGCTAGGGCATGTCTGGTTCTTTTGAATACTGCAAACATTTTAGTTAGCAAAACAAGCATATACTAATGTAACACTAACAAAACCAACTTCTTACTCTAAATATCAACATCATGGATTTAACCAACATGTCCATTATTTTTAAAAATACTTTTTTAAAAAGTATTTACTTTTTTAAAAATACCTTTTTTGGGTTACTGCTATATGTACTTTGATATTTTTTCAGGGTTGAAGGCCCCAATGAAAAAGAATAGCATCCCTAACAAGTGAGTTAAGGCATCCTATATAATAAAAGCCTAATATGCTAAGTGTCTGGTCGGCCATTCAACCAATAAAAGCATAATATGTTAATGATATGTTAAGGCCACTCAACTGCTCGCTATGACATGCACTGACCACCAAAGGGCAGATGCTCTGACTGGTAGGTTAGCTTGCTGCTGGGGTCCAGTGGTTTGGGACTGAGCAAGACGGGCCGGCCACACTCTGGAGCCCTCCTGTGTCCCTCCATGGCCCCAATGGTGCACTGGTGGGTTCCCTCGACCTGACCTGCGCCCTGTCACAATCTGGGCTGAGGGACCCCCGCACTCCGACCCTCGCCAAAGTGCACGAATTTCATGCACCGGACCTCTAGTTTTGGCTATAGATGGCCTGATTCTTGGGTAGGGCTGGCTCTAGATTGCTCTTCCCAAGCCCATCAGATTAAAGTTGAATTAAGCTCAAACCCTTCATATAGGTTTTAGTTCTTTGCATCCTTGTGTCTCCCCTACAACAATGCATTTTAAAAGTTTTGCTTGGTAGTAGTACATAACCCATCTTTGGGTTTTTATGATTGGCTATCCTAGTCTTGTCATTACAAAATAGTGACTTGATTAGCATTGTTAAAAATGTATTGTTTGCCTTCTCAGTACTGTGTTAAAATGAGCAAGATCATTTATAAATATGTCTCCAAGAAATGAAGGATTGCATCTTCGTGGTATGTCTTCTCTTGAGGACATCTGGGTAGTGTATTATCTGGGAACTCACTGCTGACCTGCTCATTACCTAGCTTTTGTGTGTGAGCAGCGAGCTAGGCACCTCTGGTTCTCAGGAGTAACCACCAGTGCTGACAGTTCCTGCTCGTTCTGGGGCCACTGACTTTATTGGTCTCTTGCATTCACCTGTTTCTACTTACACAGACAAAAACACATACACAGCATCACTTTATAATCTGGGGAAACAACATACCCAAATATTAGCAATCTCCTAATATATTAGTTTTCTAGGTACACAACCAATTACCAACAGATTTAGCAACTTAAAACAATGCACATTTATTACCTCACAGTTTCCATGGGTCAGCAGTCGGCACAGCTTACTTAGCTAGTCTTCCCCTCAGGGTCTCACAAAGAAGGAGTCAGCCAAGCTGCATTCTCACCTGCAAGTAGGAGTGGGGAGGAATCTGCTGTCAGCCCCATTCAAATTGTTGGCAGGATTCAGTTCCAGCTAAGGATTGAGGGCCTCAGCTTCTTGTGAGCTGTTGGCTGCCCTCGGAACCTACAGGTCTGTGGTCCCCTGCCCCGTGGCCCTCCCACAACACGAGGCCCTCCCTCAAACAACACAGTTGTTTGCTTCTGCAAAGCCAGCAGGAGAGTTTCTAGCCTCAAAGAGCTGCAGCCCTCTTTAAAAGGACTTTTACCTAATTAAACCAAGTTCACCCAGGATAACCTCCCTTTCAATTAACTCAATATGCAATTTTGTGAATACAGTGTGGTGTGGTTGCAATAACAGATCACTGTTTTGTTCAGATTCTTTTGTGTGAAAGAACCTTAGTTCAAAGTTGCTGATATGAATACCAGTATTATGCAAATGCTTGCTGGGTGCCAGGCACTGATGTAAGGGCTGTGCACACACCTTCTCACTTCATCCCTCAGACATCCCAGAGAGGTAGGTAGGTGATGTTATTCCCAAAGTTAGGATGGAGAAGGAAAGAAAACAAAAAAGGAGATGTGACTGATGAAAGGCCAGGAACAGTGCTCGTAGAGGCTGAAACTGTCTCTGCACCTAGGTTCTCTCCTTCCCCCCTGGATCTTGCTCCTTTCCAAGGATGCAGACCGACTTTTTCCCCCGATTGTGATGACTGGGAGGGCTCATGTGGGCCAGCTCTAGTGGGAGAAAAGGCAGAAGCCTCTGATTCACCCTGATGCCTTTGTGCAGTCCTATGTCTAACCTGGAATCTAATTTGTGAGGGAATGGTTGTTATGGGTTATAGATTTGCATTTCCCTACTCTCGAATTCATAATCCCCAGTGGGATGCTATTTGGAGATGGGGCCTTTGGGAGGTAATTAAGTCATGAGGGTGGAACCCTCATGATGAGTACTGCCCTTATAAGAGGTATGAGACAGCTGCAGCCCCCTCCCCTGTGAAGATATAGCAAGTCAGGAAGTAGGCTGTCACCAGACAGAAGATCTGCTGCAGCCTTCATCTTGGGCTTCCCAGCCTCCGGAACTGTGAGAAATATTTGTTGGGTAAGCCACCCAGCCTATGGTGTTCTTGTTTCAGCAGCCAGAGCAGACCAAGACCCATGGCACGAGGGCTCAGCGAGGCAAAAGGGTGGTTCCTTAGAGGAAAATGAGGGTATTAGCAGGAGGATGAGTGGCTGCCAAACTGCAGAAACATTAGTCTGCAAGTAGTAAGACCTGGATTCTGTTCTGGCTGTGACACTTTGTAGACACTTTTCCTCTCTGGCCTCAATTTCCACATTAGAGGCATTGAATCAGGAGCTCTCCAAGGTCCCTGCAGTGCTCATGTGCTGTGACAGAGTTCAATACCAATTTTCCTGAATTCAGGGTCTGGCACAGCAGACCTGGGGAACTCTGCTCTCCCCCTCTCCCCCCACTACTTCACTCCCCACCCCTAGTACTTTCAGACTTTGCAGAGCTGACTTTCTGCAATTGTTGTCAGAAGGTCTGTGTTTTTCTGCCTTTACAACTGATAATCCTCATTCCCATTTCGGCCTTTTTATTGTTGTTAATCCTCACCCAAGGATATTTTTCCATTGATTTTTTTTTTAGAGAGAGTGGAAGGGAGAGAGACAGAGAGAAAAAAAATGACACGTGAGACACATCGATTGGTTGCTTCCCACACATGCCTGATCAGAGCCAGGGATCAAGCCTGCAACCGAAGTACGTACCCTTGACCAGAATTGAACCTGGGACCCTTCAGTCTGTGGGCCAAGCAAAACCAGCTAGGCCAATTTCTGCTTTTTTTAACTTTCATTTCTTGTTTCTTCTCCATCCTAACCCTGCCACTTCTCTCCCAGGCCAGGTACAGGGGGTTCAAATCCCAGCTCCATCACTTACTATGTCACTCAACCTCTGAGCCTGTGTCCTCAATCTGTAAAATGGGACTAACACCACCACCTGCCTCTTTGGGTCGAAGGGAGGGTGAAGTGAGTAGGTGCATGTCCAGTGCTGCCAATGGTGCCTGGCACCCAGTGAGCACTCACATATTACTAATATTATTATGATCTCTGCTTCTCTGGGATTGGGACACTTGGCCATGTCTATCACTGCTTAGTCAGAGTTCCAGAAACATTGGCTTCAGTGCCACTCCAAATGATGAATAGAGGGCTGCTTTCAGGATGATGGACATTACTGTATACATCTCCAGCGTTTGGGACAGAGAGGGCTGGCTGGACTGACGCCAGGCTTCGCGGGCTGGAGTCCAGGGTCAGCCACAGGAAAGAGCTCTGGCTTTTCCTCACCGGGCTCTGCCTCCCTTGTAGCTTCATTTCTGCCGCAGCTCCCATTAACCTCAGGCCTCAGCCTCGGCAGAACTCACTGCTGCAGGCCCTCCTCTACTCCATCAGACTCCTGGGCTTCCCCCACACAGCCCCACTGTCCCACATGTCCTAGCGACTTTCCTTCTTCCACTGTCCTTCTCATTCAGCCTTACATCAAAGGTAACTCTTCCCGAAGGGGAATAGCCCAGGCCCCTACCCTCTCATACTCTAGGTTCTGCACTTTAATCCCCCACATGCTGCACTGTCATTATTTTCTCAGCTGTCTTCCTGACCACACTGTGAGCTCTCTGAAGGAGTCACTTTCTTACTCATATTGGAATTTCCAGGGCTTAATAACTGCTTAACACATAATAGGTACTCAGTCTTTATTAGCAGAATGAACATGTCTCCCTCAATTCCCCAAATAACAGCTAAGTCATGCATTGCAAAACGTTTGGAAGAGCCTGAGCCAAAAGGGCAGAGTCGCAGAGCTGGCCTGCACACGTGTCTTTCTCCACCTCCTCCCCCACCTCCACGAGTTAAACAGAGGCAGTTAGGTCGTTCCTCAGCTCTTTCTGATGGTGTAATCTTTGTTAACCCCTGTCCATTTTTAACTTCTTCTGTAGAAACTATTATTCGTTAGGAGTAAACTCTTCATCACAAGTGATTCATGGTATCTTTACTTTGATTTTGTTGACAGTAATCCTTCCCTTTGCAAAGCCAATGAGCCAACGTCCAGTGTTGAGTCTAGTGCTCCTTGCTCCTTGCCCTTGGCTACCCCCTCTCACCACTCAGTCAGGCGTGCCCAGCTCCCAGGGTGGCCCACACTGTATCCATAGCTCCTTCCTTACACTCTGCTAATTAATTTCAACACTTGTTTTTCCTTGTGATACGTAAGGTAGTAGGTAGATGAAGCAGCTAAAAATGTGATCTTTCCCTCCCTCCCCTCTATCTTTGGCAAAGGAAAACTTGTAGAAAAGTGCAACTAGAACAGGGGTGGGCAAACTTTTTGACTCGAGGGCCACAATGGGTTCTTAAACTGGACCAGAAGGCCGGAACAAAAGCATGGATGGAGTGTTTGTGTGAACTAACATAAATTCAAAGTAAACATCATTACATAAAAGGGTACGGTCTTTTTTTTCAATAGTTTTATTCATTTCAAACGGGCCGCATCCGGCCCACAGGCCGTAGTTTGCCCACGGCTGAACTAGAAGTTCATGTGCACGTCCTAATTCACATATCTAAATACAAGCAACAATGCCTTGAAGAGAAGTGGTGTTTTTGTTTCTAAAAGAAAAAATCCCTAACACCTAAATCACAGACAAACAAGGGGCTAAGCCTGGAAGTCAATGATAGTCACTAAGAAACTCAGCTGTCTGCCCTCCCCCTGGTTATACAAAGTCATGCAAACATGGCCAAGGCAAGTGTTCATTCCACAAATGTTTACGGAGTGCTTGCCATGTGCTGGGCTCTACGCTAGCACTATTGGGAGTTCACACTGGCCAAGAGACCTTTTCACCTGGAGCAGAAAAGGTTCAATGGGGGAGAGAGATAGAGGGAAGGGGAGACTGAAACCCATTGGGGTTTATGTGTGTTGTGTGTATAAAGGTGGTTATTGGGGGGGCAAAGGAGGATAAACTGATGTCAACAGCAAAGTATAAGGGTCAGGAGTAGATAAAAGAGAGCCCAGGTTAATCTGCTGAACATAAACTATGTCCCAGGAAGCAAAGTGACACTCGCACTCAGACCTTTAGTGACGCCCTGACGTTTCTGTACCAGGAGGCACGTGGGTCTCTGGATGGATCTGGTGGACCAGAACCCTCTCACACAGGACCTGCCTTCCACTGCTCTGTGTATGGCTCTGCATTACACCACGTACCGGCCACCGGCTGACAAAAAGCTCGAGGCATTTCTACTGGCAGTAAACTCGAACAGTAGAGGAAACATGCTATATATTTGGACTCCAGAAATATAACTTGTCAAACAAACCGATTGTACATAACATGTCTTTCGCTGTGTTTTACAATCATTTACACACATGAAGCTTCAGAGGGATGTTTTCTATCCGAAAGCCCACAGCTGTCTTCCCAGCACAGAAACAGAGTTCCGCTAACTGCCGCCACCACCGCCACAGTGGATCTGCCCTGGCAATTTGGACCCTCATTGTGCCCCAGCCTCAGCTCCCATGAGCTCCCCACAGCTCCCTGGGGCGCAGGGCACTGAGGATGGATGCTACCCGGCCTAGCCCGTGGGTGTGAACGCTGGGCCCAGACCCGGCTCTTTGGTATGTTTCTCCATCCCACACCAGAACCCATCCATCTACAAGGGCCAGAATCAGAATTAGCAAAGAAGTGCTACTAACTTCTCCCCCGGAAGAAAAGCTTAAGGAAACTTCACAGACACTTCAGATGCTAGGAGAAGAGACATAAGCCTAGGTACTATGGCCACTCTAATGACAGGTCTGAATGTGAAGCAAACAAACCTTCTAGAATAGATAACATTCTTAAGACCTAGAGAAGGATTTCTACCAAAAAAAAAGGTAAAAAAGCACCAACCTTAAAGGAAAGATACAATTCAACGACTTTAAAATCACGATCTTCTCTTTATCAGGACACCTTTTCATTAAGAGGGTAAAAAGGCGAGCCACAGAGTGGGAGGAGATCATGTGCAACACCCATGCCACAAGGAAGGAGCGGGAACCAGGAGGCAGAACGGGCTGCCAACCAGTAATGTGGGGGGCGAGGGGGGCGCCAAAAAACGTGAAGAGACACTTTAAAAAAAGGGGAAATACAAATAGCCAACAGACTTATGGCAAAGTGACCTCAGAAGGAAGCAGGGAGACGCCAATTAAACCCAGAAGGGGATGGCCTGCATGTGGGTGAAGTGCCAGGGCTGCGAGGACGGGGAAAATTGGCGTTTTCCGGAGAAGGTGGGAGGGACAACCCCGCGCGGCCACGCGACACCCGGAGCCCCTCTCCAAGGTCCGAGCGTCAGGGCGCCCTCCAGGGG